TCTATGAAAACCCAGTAGGGTTTCACAGCCTGTTCAAATTTTGTGTGATTAACTCAAAATGTAATTCTCTGTTTGTGTCTTATGTTTCATTTACTTTCATATAGATAACACTTCTTTAGCTAAGTAACTTTGCTATTCTCTATTCTTTATCTACTCCAGTACCTTTGCACATTTCTGTATCTTCAGCACTTCTAAAGTTCATGGATTTGACACAATTTTCTGTTTCCTATTTTTGAGTATGCCAGGGGTTCAGTTTAAGGTTCGTAGCCAGAAGCAACAACTGGCAAAATGTCTGGAAAAAAGAGAAATTAACAAAAATACTACCTCTGCCTTCAGAACTCTGCTCAGTTATGGTCTCAGATCACCCTAACAGCAACACTATCACAATTTCTTTAATTTGTGCATCTAGAATCTTCTTTTCATTGAATCAAGCAGACATCTGGTTATATGTCACTATCTATTTTGTACAGAGTAGAAGTCTGGTGTACCTTAAAACTTCAATACAGAAGATGGAGGGAAAGAAATCTATAAAAGGAAATTTGGCAATTCATTTTCTGAACGTATTATTTCCAATGCAGTATGCTGCATTATTACCCACTTTGTCATGTCTTTATTCACAAACAAGTAAATCTTTAAAGTAAACACAGGCATAGCACATGCTAGATGACTTTTTTTGGCTTCATTTACAAAGTCTGAACAGAGTCTTCACAGTTGATAAAGCAGTAGTAAATACACACGCCTTGTGAACAAGCGTTCTGGGCTAATCGCTCTTTCCAGTTACCAGCGCTCATCATAATTCCTCCCTACACCTTCCCTTTCATTCAGGATTGCTGTTTCTTTTAACCACTCAGTGTTCTCCTAATGATGCTATGAGAGAAGTTGCACGGAGTTTGATCTGTCAACTGATCGTATCTGATCCAGTTCCCCAAACTACCTTGCAGGTTGGGCGCAGGTCTTTCTATCAGGCAACATTTCACGCTGCCCGCCGAACAGCACCCTTTGCTATGCTAGGAACACACTTGGGGCAAATCAGTATTAAGAGTCCTTCATGTTTTTGCAGTTGGGAGACTAGCAAGCACAAGCTCAGCCTTAGCACCATCCCAGGGCAGCACGTAATGTGGAATTCCTGACCAGCCCCACTCAGTAGGTCTGTCCCTACCTGCTATGGCCTCAAACACAATCTGCCTGCGGAAGAAGCTGGGAAGAACTGGCGCAGGGCAGATTTACACACTATAATGTTTCCTTTCCAAGTTACCTTCAGTAAATTCCCAGCTGTTTACTTGGACTGCTGTATGCGTTTCTAGAAAAGACCAATACGGATACTCTGGGGACAAAAAATTGCCAGTGATAAGCACTGTATTAAAAAAAATAAGAAAAAACAAATACTCCAGACTAGGGCACAAATTAAACAGATTTCATCTACAGAGGCTTCTGTCCAACGGTCAATGCTTACTAATTTCCCACTTTTCTGCCATTTCTGGGCTTACTTTGGGAAGGATTGCCATAAAAAAAAAAAGCAATGGACAGCTTTAATAAGCTCTGATACTCTGTATTTCATTCCTGGTGTTCTAAATACATGATGAGGTCAAAATAAAACACTTAGCAGGTAATATTTCTGTGCCCCTCCACGCATAAGCTAGAATCAGCAACTTCAAAGCTATTCCACTAGTGCTTAAGGTGAAAAAAGATGCAGGAGGCCTGCTGAGGTAACAAAATAAAGGCAGAGGAAACAAGGTGAGTTGGATAGTCCTGGCAACTCAGGCTGTCTCTAGCACAAAAGATTGCATCACAAAGTATGTTACAGAAAACAAATAGCTTTTATTCTAAACTCTTTCTCTGTCTGACGTTAATTACATTCTATATATTATAATCCCTTGAATTTTCTCTTCTTATTGTTTTTGGTTTTGTTTTGCTTTTTTTTTAAAAAAAAACAACCTACGGATAGTCAATTTTACCTCACAAATTGCATCACAGTGCACAGACATGAAAGTGCTTTGCTGATGTGAAACAGAAACTGTTCTTTCCTTTTTAAAGTAAAAACATGCTGCTGCAAAGAAGCAGTCAAAAGGATTGAAGGTAAAAACTAGTACTGAGTGTACAAGAATCCTCTAAATATTAACATACCTAAAATGATAGCTATAAATCTTCACATGAAAAATGAGCACATAAATTCAATAGAAATAAAACCTGCAAAACTCTTCTAAGCTCAAAATCAACCTTGTTTCAGTAACTGCTGGAATACTGGGCCAATGCATGTCAATCATATACACACAAATGGAAACCATCACACTCCTATTCACACTCAAACACTGATTTCATAAGAAGAATTATCCATTCTGTGCTCACTATATTTGATTACAAAAAGAAATAAAATGGAAATTGCTGCCAATGTTTGAGGATCTCAAACACTTTCAGGAGATACACATTTCATAATCTCCTGTGAAAAATCAAACCAGTGAGCAAATATTTTCCCACTGCAAGTGAATGTTATTTTAAATAACTTTCAGTCTTACCTTAACTTTAAGCACAGAAGAAAACATTTTGGCATCTTCAGACACTCCTCCAATGTACATTTTTTTGGTGAAGACAGGCACATGGTCATTTTCATCCTTTACTTCAATAAACACCTTGGCTATATTACCTAAAAGAAGGAATGGCAAGTATACATAGAACATATGGCAATATGTCTTTAACACCTACTGGGGTTCAAACATTTACAGCCCAAACAGATCAATGTAAAACAAGTGCATGCATAACATGTTAAAATAAATTCATTAGAAATAATAAGCACATTTGGTATGAAAAGTATAAACTTAAAGGAAGTAAAAAGATTTCATGTTGGGTTTTTTTTGTACTCTATTTTTATTGTTTCTTCATTTTCCATTTTTTCTGAATGAACTTTGAGCTCAAATTTGTACCTTTCCAGAAAATGATTCCCATGATATATACACCTGCACTTTGCTAGCAGAGCTATCTGAATCTGCCTGTAAGCAAAAACCTGCCACGGCTTGCTTTGGAAAGCAAGCTATTCGGGGGAAAATATAAAAAAAGACATGTAACTAATTTTTCAAATAAATAGAAAAGCACAAGTAAGAATATTGTACTTTAGTAACACAGATTTTGGTCATAGTAAATTCTCACAAATGGTATAAAGAGGTAATGAACAGATGATGTATACTAGTAGTTATGCTGCAAACAGCAGCTTGCTTTTTCCACTTCACGTGCTTCACATTATTACTAATTCCCATGGCAAATGCCTAGTCAGTGATTCTGCCATGGTGTCCGTAAAGTCACAAATGTTCATACAACAGCACTGGCAGAAACATCCTTTGCGTGAACAACATGATACTTTACACTGCAGGTCAGTGCAGCTTTTTCTTTACCTGCTTGAGCCTTAAAGCACAAACTTCTGACAGGTTTGACCATGCATGTGCTAAGCAGCCTCAACACCTAATGAATTTACTGTATTAATTGAGTTCATGCCTAAGTCTGTCTTCATCACAAACCTGGGCTGGCCCATGGGAACTGAAGAAGTATTACTCCCCTGCTAGAGGTTCAACACATTTTCAAGCAAAATACAGCTGTTCATTTGTGCTTTATTAAACAGTTACTGATTCACCTCATTAAACAATAAACACCTCTCTCCTTCTGCAAGTAAAAAACATCTAGCAAAAATTATGGACCTAGTGCAAAAAAGATTCAACTGCACAGTAATTTATACCAACAGCTGTTTGTCTCTTTCAGAAATGTATAATCCAGAAAGACTGCTGTAAATTATGATACCCAGTTCATTAAAACCACTTTTTCAAGTGATAAATTGCCTCAGTTCAGACTTGGTTTTCACAACTTGTTTCAGTGCCAGGGTAATTTAAATGTTGCACAAGTGCCATGCTGATCTGAGTTAGCTTCAGAATGCAGTCTTATGTAGAAAGAGCTTGTAGCTGTATCTTCAGGGGACAAAAAAATTAAAACCCAGACGGTTTCTTAGACTGCCAAGGTCACCAAAGATCTTCTGTCTATCTGATGGTCCAACTGACGGGAAACAAATAAGGACTTCACAAATGTAACTGAGATTTGAGAAAAACATTCAAAATTCTATCCAATGCATTAATACGGTGACAAGAAAAAAACAGAAAGGAAAGAAAAAATGGAAATGACATTTCCTCACAGGAATAACAAATTATTCACATTGGACACTGATCTGTGCAGATACGTTAAACAACTTGTAGGTGCTGTTACTTTGTGGGAAAATGACTTCATGACAAGCTCTCATTTTATGGAATTAGAAAAAAAAGCCGTATTCCAACATCTGAATGTGTGTAATGAGGACATAGCGGTCTATTTGCAATCATCTCTATTTCGCTTATGTTCCTTTTAAAAGAACACTTCTTACCTTGAGTACATTATTTATTACAGGGAGAAAAAATTCAAAGAGGTACTGTGAGGTCCTACAAACAGTCATATCTCCCTCTTGTTAAACTGGATCCTTCACGTTTCTCACTGCAATACTAAGTCACAGTTAGAAACTGCAGCCCTGTTGAGAAAAATGAGATTCCCAAGCAGGCTTTTTCATTGCAGCAACACCCTTTAGGGAAGAAAGCAATCGAAGCAAGATTACAGGTAATGTGTGTAAATGACCTCGTCCTGCTGAGCTAATGAACTGGCTGGCACCAGTTTACTGATGTAGGGAAGATCCTAATTGTATCACATTCAGTGCTGGTAGGACTAGGCGTTCGCTAACCTGCACTAGCTCTCTAATGTAAATTAAACATCTTTTGCATAGCGCTCCCTATCTTCATCATTTCCAAGTCAGTTTTGGTGAGGTGGCTTAGCCTCGTGCAAGGTTTGCTTTGCAAATTGCTCAAAAACATTGGTTTAATTCTCTGGTAATTCTCGGAGCTGCCAAAATCCTGATTTGTTTAGTGATGGCTGAATGCTTTGAAAATGAGGATTTAAAGTTATTGCATTAAGAACAAAGTAAATTAAATATTCTGCATATATACAGACTAACATTAGCATCGTTAACATTAAATTAAACATATACCTTCATTTTATCTTACTGCCTGATTTTTATACACAGCTTATATTTCATTCATTCTGGTAGATGGAGAATGCAGCATCTGTGAACTCCTCACTACCACGCGGTTTTTCTTGGATTCCAACCTACAGCTGGCCATAGCGAACGACTCCCAGCCAGTTGTAGAGGTTGCCTTGTTCTCACACAGGATAAGCTGAGAAGCAGTGGACATGAAAATCCCTCATTAGAAACTGGCATGCGTATGAAGGTCATGCCAGATCCTTTGCCGTGGGGATCTGCTCTGCTTGATTCCATCAGATATCCCCTGCATGGGGGGCTCTGGGGCCCAGAGACGCAGGGTACGGTGCTCCTACATCCACCACCCCTGCACCTCCAGTGCCCTGCCTGATTGAAAAAGCCACCCAACCTGAGCATGCTCTTCCAGAGTCCGGTTACAGCAACAGACTCTTTTTTCCTTTAGATTCCAAATATTTAGTGATTGTTCTAAATATTGTTTGTTTGTGGCTCTAGCCCACTTTTCTGCTACCTGAAGGGAAGCAACAACATTCACTATACAATGTGCCCTGTTAGTTACTGATACTCCTACAGGTTGGGCAGTGAACACTGAAGAACACCAATATTTACGTTCACATTCCAGAACAGAAATTTTGTATCCACATGTATGTAAAACCTTGCTTCTTTGGTATTCTATATCTGGAATCCAGCTCCCATTACGTTCTTTTTCATGGATTCCAGGAGTTGAAACCAGGATTTACTCCTTCGCGGTACTTCTTGTGAGACCTCATGCAATCAAAATACAATGCTTATTACTGTGACTGAGCCACCTAAATAGCTGGCCAGATGAAAGAAGCAAGGATCCTCCCTGGACAAAGCAGCACAGGACTGCCACGGTGGCCAAAAAGAGCAGAGAAGAAAGTTGAGTGCTACAACAAGGCTTTCGACACAGTCTCCCCTGATATCCTCCTAGGGAAGCTGAGGAAGTGTGGGCTGGATGAGTGGTCGGTGAAGAGGATAGAGAACTGGCTGAATGGCAGAACTCAGAGGGTTGTCATCAGCGG